ATATATACAAATTACTAAAAAAAAAAGACAGAAGTTAATATGATAATTACAGAAAAAATAGATTTTATGATATATTTTAATTTGAAGGAATAAAATTGTTAATAATATATTTTTTACCAACATAATTAATAATACATAAGATAATATAATTAATAAATAATTAATGTGTATATATATTTATAAAATATAAGATTAAATATGTTTATCAAAAAATATGTTTATAAAAAAAATAACAAGATACATATCATATAGGCTTTCACACTCTCCCTTTTTTCTCCAAAAGCAAAAAAATTTTGCTTTTTCCAAAGCCATGGTTTTGATTTTTAGAGGGGGTGTTTGGGTGATTGACACCCCAAACCATGGTTTGGGGTGTCACCCAAACACACCCTTATTTTGTGAAGGATACGGTCGAAAATGAAAGGACGTGGGAAGCTAGAGCTCCAATAGGCCCAGTGGCTGATCCTACACATGGCAAGCCCATCTTTTGACTGTTCAACATGTACGGTTTGATGCCCATCCGGAAAAGCCTCCACTGTTCACAACATGGTCTTTATATCTGGAAATGATCTCATTTGCCGCAGCCGCAGGCTTTTTTGTTTTTGTTTTTGGCCTTCAGAAAAAAGATATTAATTAAAGGTTCTCCATAATAATGTTTTAACACCATCATAAATACAATATAAATTAGCCAGACCAATTAAAGATAAGAGGGTAATATTATTAATACAAGAATTATAATTGTTTCCCCTTAGAGTGAACACAAAAGCATATTATTGCATCCAGGGCAAACACGCCATTAATCAAGTGATCAACTTTTCGTCGAGGTTTATGATGGTTTGCTTGCTTGCTTGCTTCCTGTAAAGCTGTACGGCCATCTCTTTAACTGCTGTTTTCAGCTGCCGATGCAAGTTCCTTCATAGTTAGTAGCTGGGCTGGCTGAGTTCCTTCTTCCAACATGACACGTAGTTTTTATAGGATGATGACAATAACAATAATAATAAACATATAAAATTAATTAATTAAGTTTTATCAAGGTCAAAAAAATTAATTAAGTTTTATATTAAAAAATATTTTGCTGACCGGGTAAAATACATACGGGAGTTATTACATGTCAATAAAATATATAATCTTGTTATGAGAGAAACGACATGTAAGAAGCAGCATATGAGAATTGAGAAAGACGCGCCTATATATATGTGTATATACAGGAAGTTTCTCAACACAAGGCGTATTAGGGGTCAACACCGTGTGTTGCCTCATAACTCTATCTTCTGATTCATATCAACACATAAATATTTATTCTGACTCAGGCAAGGCGTCTCATATGTCCGTTCAAAGTGAGAACAAAGAAATTCAACAGTCAGTGGAGATTCATTAATTCAAACCATTATTAAGTAATTCCGTGGTTGAATGCTGTGGGATAATTTGACAACCATTAAATCAATCTACTTCATCCCCTTTAATCTACTTCAACTCTTAAAGGAATCAATTTTTGAATATGAAACAAATTAGTTTATTATTATCATTATTATTAGTATCATTTTTTTCTGAAGCGCCCTCAAAGAAACAGGATTAAATGTAGGAGGAAAAAATTATGAAATTAATGAGGATAATTTAAAATATAGATCACATAACTAGAAATAAAATAAGGAAAAATTCTAGAAAAAGAATTATGAAATTATAATTTTCCAATTAAGGCACCTAAGAGTTGAGAATAACAAAAAAAAAAAGGTGCTTGATCTGATATTTTACAAATATAATTAAATAACCAAAATGCCCTTGTATTATATTTCAAAAAAAGAAAATATCAAACTTATCATTATTGGTTCATAATTTGTTAATAAATAACTTGCCGTTGCCAATATATTTTTTGTTATTTGTTATTCAATACTTGTCATTACCAATTCAGAACTTTTTAATAAACTTTTTGATATAAAAGAATTTTAGTAATTTAATTATATTCGCAAAATATCAAATTATGCATCACTTCCTTCTTTGTCATTTTCAACTCTTAGGTGCCTAATTTGGAATGTTATATTTTCATCTTTTTTATTTGTCATTTTGTTCAACCATTTGTGCAATCATCGGAGGCTCAATCAATTTTAACACGTTTGATACCAGCAAAATAAAAATCTCCTCGCTATCTACAAATTCAGTTGAAACACCCTCATTATGCTCATTTTTGCACGAGAATTCTAGAAAGCCAGACCGCATCCATGACAAGTGGTGGATGTTCAAAATGGTAAAACGCATTCCTCGTATGTCATTTTGGAATTGAAGGCATATTTAATTTCATGCGATAAACAAAGTCAATCCCTCGGGAAGAATCATGGCACATGATCCATATTCAAAACTGGAAAACGCATTCCTCAACTTCCTGTTTCAACTTTCAAGAAACAAGACTTCTTCTTAGTGACATGTGTGTGATTTGATTTCTCCAATGTGCATAAATAATATCAACGGTCAAGCAATCAACTAGTCAACAATTATATATACGCAAAATACTTTACGTTCGATTTCATTCGTAATTAAAGTCATCGTGCTATTTTTTTTCCCATCGTATTTTGTTCGTTCAGATAATTATTCTCTTGATTCTTGTTTCTTTCCTGAAGTGGGATTTTGGCAAAGAGAAAACAGAGCAAATCATGACATGATAGTCGCAAACAAGACTCTGTTATTGAAATTCATATTTCATTATTATTTTTTTATGTTTGCAGGGACTGCAAAATATTTAAATGATTAATAGGCTAGAAATACATCCGGATGTACGACCTGTTCGCTTGAAAATGGCTTTAAAAATATAGCCCAAGTTGGCGTGCATATCAAGAAAAACGAAAAAAGAATAATAATAATAGACTTATTTGTATGGCAATTAATTTTGACTGAAATGCTTCATACGTTCATACCCCCCGTTATACGTAACGAGGGAGGAAAATAGTTTTACGTACGAATTTGGGGGAAAAATCAAACCAGATGATTAATTAATTACTATATGTTGGCGTTTTTAACAAGCTACTGTTATACATTCATTGGCGGAGAAGTTTGCGTGGAATTGATCAAAAAATACCTGAAAAAATTATTTGATTACAAATGTAATAAACATTAGTGATTGTCGAACTTTGAGTTCCTCCTGGTCTTATCGGGTACGTGATTATATGTTTGATTAGTCTGCTAATTCGAGGAGTTTTGCCAATTTTTCATGAACGTCTGTGCTTTACAAATTAGCTTCATATTCGGCGTTAATTTAAATAATAATGCATTATTGAAGAACATTATAAACAAGGAATTCGGGGGAAGGTATATGCAGATGGATTCTTCTTTCCTGGAAATAAACTGTAAGTTTTGTTTGCCAGCGAAATACGCTTTATTCAACAATGCAAAAAGGAATATAATATCCAATGGGTTACATAATAAATTGGCCCGCAAGAAAATAGTTACTCCTTTAATCCTATTTATAAGGTATTTTCAGCATATTTCATACAGACTAAAAAAAACTTTAAACTTTATTAACTATCATTCAAAATTTAATGACTTTTTAACTTTATCCCTATTTAATATGCATTATACCTTATATACACAAAGTTAATACAATAATAAATGAAGGGTAAAATTATACATTTATACAAAAAATTTCTCTAAGTACCCTATAAATAGGATAAAAAAAATGCCTTATTTCTCTGTCCTATAAATAGGACCAGAAGAGTATATTAATATTCCGTCAGATAACACACGGTTGAAATCTGAGTTTGATTTTTTGAAATAAATATCCGGTTAAATTCCCGTTTTTATGTATTTTGTTGTAAGCGTGATTTAAAATTTAGTATCATAAAATCATGGTAAAATATGCTGAGAAAGTTATTAGAGTAAAAATATTAACGAAATTTATTTCTATTTATTTATTTATTTTTTGACGAAGATAAAATGTTCAAACTCTTGTGTGTTTTTGGGATATCTTTTGCCCACAACTCATAAAGGTGATTCGTCCGTAATATAATGATCAGGGTTTGGCCTAAGTGTCCGGCTTGAATTGATATGTGAATCTTCTTTTTGGGGCCAAAAATTGATGTGCGAGTAAAGTCTCATTAATATGTGGGGATTCCCCTTCTCACTGCCATCATTCTGGCAATATTTTCCTTTGGTCTTCTAACTGAGCTCACAAAATTAATAACAAGTACATGTAATATTCACGACAATCGATTATTAAATTTGAGGCTTTTAAAAAGGGAAAACCGTACCCCTCACCTATGTTAATTAACTTCACAATTATTGTCCAAAGTAAATTATGATCATAACGACTTGCTATTTTCCAACTAAATAAATTGAGCACAGCTTTTTTTTATTTGAACGCTATTCGTGTGTAGAAGAAGAAGAGCGAAAAGAAAGCAAATGGAGGAAAGTCCAACTGCCATTTCTCTAATACATGTTTTCAAAACATAAGAATGAATGATGCACCAAAAATGAGACTGAGTGAAAAAAAGTAAAAGTTCTGAATTTTCAAGTGATGAGGCACGGACAGAATTACATTTATGTCCACATCATCTCTTGAGCTTTAAATTCATATTAAAACGTACTCATTCACCTAAAGAAGAAAAACCAAGAGGGCTGAAGTCAACGTCATAAAGAAACCGGCCTTATGAACAAAATTAACTTCCACAACTACTTTTAACTGAATATTTGCTATTGCTAGACGGGCATAAACACAATGGTATATATAATGTTATCTGACCAAAAGAGAAAAGTCATCGTTATTTTCATTCCCTCTCGGATCAAGTTGCAGATGGCAGACCTGGGCCAAACCCTTCAAATTAAATGACGACAGGCACACCCTTAATCAACCGTCTACAGAATTAAAAATTTAAAGAGTAAATGCCGCTCCCAGTATACTCTCTCTCTTGCATCACTCATGTCCATGTACATACACATGTGTGTGTGTGTATATATATCCGCACGGTTTAGAGGCCATTCCATTCCACCATCAACGCCTTGTCATACACACACATCCTCATTGCAAGGCAAGTTAAATCGTACCTCCTCGCTCCAATTTGAAACCCCCCTCCGGCGAAAATGGTGATGGAACTTCCTCAATGGTTTGTTCCAGCTTCGTGCGTCTTCATCTTGATTTGTATATCCACTCTGATACTCAGGCGAGATGGGAAACGGAAAAGCCTTCCACCTGGCCCGCCCGGCTTGCCTGTCATCGGCCATCTTCATCTCATGAAGCCACCCATTCACCGAACTCTTCAGAAACTCAGTGAGAAATACGGCCCCGTCATGTTCCTTCGCTTCGGCTCTCTCAAAGTTCTGGTGGTCTCTTCGCCATCGGCCGTGGAAGAATGCTTCACCAAGAACGACATCGTTTTCGCCAACCGCCCTGCCACACTTGCCGGGAAACACCTCAATTACGACTACAAGACCGTGGGATTCGCCCCTTATGGCGATCACTGGAGAGGCCTCCGGCGGCTAATAAATCAGGAACTTTTCTCTGTGAGCAGACTCTCCATGTTAAGCGACGTGAGGATGGATGAAGTCCTGCTTCTGGTAAAGCAACTGTTCGGAAAGTCAGGACGAAGCTGGATGAAAGTGGAACTCAGACACAGATTCGTGGACCTTATTTTCGATGTGACGTTGAGGATGATCTCAGGGAAGAGGTATTATGGGACGGACGTGGTGTCGAAGGAAGCGACGGATTTTAAGAATATGATGGGCGAAATTTTCGAACTTCTTAATCCCGCTGTGGATGACCTTTTCCCAATACTACGACGGCTCGACCTCTTTGGGGTGCAAAGAAGGATGAAGCGAGTGATGAAGAAGCAGGACAGTTTTCTTCAGAACCTGCTTGACGAGCACAGGAGAAAACGAAGCTCCAGCAGCAACATTGGCGCCAACCAGGAGAAAAAGACCATGACCTTGATTGAAGTCATGTTGTCTCTCCAAAAAACGGATCCGGTGTTCTACTCCGACACAAACATCAAAGGAATTGCAGCGGTAAGAAATTAATCACTGGGCTAGATACTTCATTCCCTAATATATCGCCGAAATTAATTAACGAATTAAATTGCCAAGAAGAAAGCCTTTGGTTGAGCCTTTCCTTTTTAGTATGCTACACGACACTTTTTCTTGAAAAATATTGCTATCCATGCACGAGTTTCTTTGGGTCATCTTATCATTTTCTTAATATAAGAGTTAGTTTAATTTTTAATTTGGTTCTAAATATAAATACAAGACCCCAATTCATTTTATCTCTCATATGCATCCATCTTTTTTAAAATATTTTTTATAATAGTTATATATGTTAAAAATTTTATCAAATAGTAATTCTAGTTAACATGCATGATTAACAAAGAAATTCTAGGGAACACATACAATTACAAACAACTCATTTAACAAATTTTCTTAATATATTCAAATTAATCAACTAGTTCTTATATTAAGGATCAGATGTGGTAGTAATTTCTGTTAAAAATGAGAGCTACCCTTTTTGTGCTTAGTGTGGTTTATTAGATATACCGATCGACTACACTAGTTTGATCGGATCAACTATATATATTGATGGGAGGATTTCCTCTGTGTGTGTCTATATCATTTATTTCATCAGTGTTTGAAAAGTTAATTCTGTTAATAAATGGGAAAATTGCAACACAATCCCACCTAAGAAAATTAAATACAAAAAAGTCTTCTATAATTATTAAATTATTTTGAAGTTCTAAAGGATCTTATTGCAACAAAATTTATTTGTTTAATTACTAAATTGTTTTTATTTTTTTTTAAATTTGTATTGACAACTGAAAGAGTAGTCGTTGATAATTTATGTAAAGATTGACAACTGTCGTGGCAAATATTGACAGCTTATGCATTACATTTTGTAATATGTTAAGAAAATGTGTTATCAATATCTGCTGTGATAGTTGTCAATCCTTACACTTTAAGTTATCAACGACTACTCCTTCAGTCAAACACAAAGTTTTAAATAAAATGACAATTTGATAATTAAACAAATAAAATTTATTGCAATGAGGTTTCTTGAGACTTCAAAATAATTTGATGATTTTAAGATATTTTTTTGTATTTAATTCCCCTGAATGGGATCTAATTATAATTTTCTCTTAATAAATTGAGGAAGTAATCTAGTCGTAATTCAATAGTTTCAATGTCAAGACCGAATCATTCGTCGATAAATGCTGCTTTTACAATAATTAATAAACAGATATGTACAGACTATAGTAAAATAATAGTTTTTTTATTTACGCCGTGTAGAGATCGATGAATTAATCTCATTTAAATGAGAGAACTCCTTTTCATTGGTTCAAATGTTAAACTACCTGTTTATGTTTAACCAATTCGGTCAACTGTTAATACGCAATCAATTTTAAGAGGGCAGCACCCCAGCTATTTACTTTTATAGTATTAATTAATATGCAAGCTTAAAGCAAGCTTCTGTGATTAACTCTGATGTGCTGCATCCTGCATGTGATCGTCAAGGGACGAAATTAGTTAAAACTCTCATTTGATCGATGGAAACGGTATGATCAATTATGGTGAAAATGCAGGCAGTGGTAGCGGCGGGGACGGAAACTTCAGCATCGACCATGGAATGGGCACTTGCAGTTCTGCTGAACCATCCAGAGGTAATGGAAAAGTTGAAGACGGAGATAGACACTCACGTTGGAAAAGAGCGATTCATGAATGAATCAGACATACCCAAGCTCACATATCTGCAGAACGTAGTGTTAGAAACTCTGCGCATATATCCCGCCGGAGCTCTCGGAGTGCCCCACATGAACTCAGAGGACAGTACGATCAGTGGTTACCACGTCCCCAAAGGGACAATGTTGATGGTCAACTTGTGGGTGCTGCACAAGGATCCAAAACACTGGAAGGATGCCACTAAGTTTATGCCAGAGAGGTTCGAGAATGGGCAAGGCTCTGAGGGCTATAACCTGATTCCATTTGGTGCTGGAAGGAGGCAGTGCCCTGGGGCTAATCTGGCCAAGAGAATCATGGCCTTGACTATTGGATTGCTGGTTCAGGTGTTTGAGTGGAAGAGGATTGGGGATCAGGAGATCAACATGATGGAGGGAGATGGTCTTACACTCCCCAGACTTGAGCCTCTGGTTGCACTCATACGGCCACGCCAAGAGATGCTGCCCCTTCTCTCCAGCTTGTGAAGATTATATGAGAACCTGCGTGTTCATAGCTAGAGAATAAACAGTACCGCTTTATCATGCCGCTACTTCATAGTTAGATGAATTTTGGATTCACACGCAATTTCTTTCATGCGCGATACATGCAAAAGTCCTCGTTTTATGAATAATACTCTTTTGGCTATATTTATAAGTCACCTCCAATATGTTTCAGACAAATAAAAAAATCTTAAATTTTATTAACTCTCATATAAAATTCAACAACTTTCTAATTTTATCCCTGTTTAATACTCCATTCATCTCATTTTATAAGCAACAACTATCATCTCTAAGTTGTTTTAAATTTTTGTAGTGAATTTCTTGTTTTGCTCTCATTAATTACTTATTTTAGTACTCAATATATTTATTATCTTATTTTTCAAACCATCATCTTTCCATCACGCATTCTCTCTCTTCCATAATTTTTTTATTATAATAATTTTCATATTCTCTCGTCCCCATAAATAAGAGAATTTTAGTGGAAAAAAACTCTAATTTCTATATATTTGTTGTCTTTAACTAATTTTAACTAATATTTTAATCTACATAATAAGCTTCAATGTTGCTTATAAAAAAAGATGGAGGGAGTATATTATACTTCATGTAAACAAAGTCAATACAATAATAAATAAAAAGTAAAATTGCACATCAATATAAAAAATTTCTTTTAGTCATATAAATAAAACCAAAAGATACCTTCTCTCTTCCTTATAAATAGAGCCAGAGAAGCATATATAGTCAATAGTTCAATTCACAGAACTCAAGTGATAGTAAATAGACTAATAGAGCATTGTTCCCTTGGATGGTAAAAACTAAAAAGGAAATCCTGTTGTGCTATTCACACGCAACTTAGTTAGTATGTGTAATTATGTAGTCCGATTATGAATTGGCGCTAAAGTTTAAAAAAGCAAAGGGCGCAACTTTATTTTATCTTCTCGGAGTCGGGGCATTTATACTATCAATCCAAACCGACCCTTAACTCTACGGACGAAATCCGGATCTGCCGCTCGCGGTGCAAATGAGACAAAAGCCATTGGTGGTGTTTCTCATAATGTCCGACCCGGAAATCACAACCGCAACCACATCGGTCTAGGGCTCTGCTCCTCCGCCCATGGAAGCTCAGTCTCCGCTCAACCAAACCTTGTGTTCCCAATCCATCTCTTTCAGCGTATGGCCCCCCACCCAGCGCACCCGCGATGCCGTCATTCATCGCTTAATCGAGACCCTTTCTACGCCCTCCGTCCTCTCCAAGAGGTACGGTACTTTGTCCCCCGAAGACGCCTCTGCTGCTGCCCGCCGAATTGAGGACGAGGCTTTCTCCACCGCTGCTGCTTCTGCCTCTCTCGACGATTACGGTATCGAGATTATTCAGCTCTACTCTAAGGAGATCAGCAGGCTCATGCTTGACACTGTCAAGGCCACAGCTGCTCTAGATAATGACGCCACCAAGACGCCCGACTCTGCCATGCCGGGCGTCTCTGCTACTGAGTCTAAGTCTCAGTCTCCATCCTTATGAGGTTTGATGTTCCATGTGTTCTCAGGCTGTCGTGTCTGCTGGCATTGAGGGTTTGAGCCTGATTGTCTGTGTTGGCAATCTTTGTTCTGGAGTCTTTCTGTGAACATCCTTACATTTCCCATTGTCTCGATTTGCTTCCCTTATGATTGACATAATTTTCGTGTACGCAGCCTGCCATTGCTGCTTCAATCATTGATTCTCTATGTCGTGCTTTTGTCTTTGAATTCCTCGCTAGATTTTCTTTAGCCAGTTGATTGATTTTTTTCAATTAATTTTCTCCAATCCATCAAACTAAAAAAAGTGAAATTGAGGAGATGAGCATCGAGTGATGAAACTTACTCTGAAATGTTGACATTCTAAAAAATCTTTCTGAATTTCAAATTGAAAAGAAAGTATTAAAATATGCTTCTGTTTAATTTCAACACTCAGGTCAGTCTGGCAAATTTGCGTAAAGGGAATATTCATTACCTTACCTCTATTATGGTCGTGTGTGTGTTTTGTGACTCTCGCTGCATTCCATCCAATTATGTTTTGCAAACCACCGTATGTATTAGCAGGCTGTGATGTTTTACAAATCAATGATAGTTCGAATGTTTATTGCATTTTCTATTCTTTTTTCAAGTGACGCCAAATATCTAAGAACAATTTATGGTAGAGAAAATAGATTTCCTTCTCAAATGCCTTCTGTACGCCCAAGAGGCTTCTTATATAATAGCTTATAACTGCAGATCACTCACAGTCTCTAGGTTATGAACTCGACCTCACATATTGAGCCTTGTACATATGCAATACTCTTATCAATTTGATCTATTTCTGTAGAATGGTTCATGCTTCAAGATGTAAATTGTTGTATCGCTTCTGCTTGTTTAGTTTGATACATTATGCTGTTGTTGAGCTTAAGGGGATCTTGAGTCCGCACTAGCTGTCTATCAAGAATGGGGTTCATAGTGTTCTTCAGGCACTTAAAAGTTGATGGGTGATTACTTCGTAACCGCGACTATATCTATTATCTAAATGGTCGGCTATAATGTTTTTTATATGTCACCCAAACAAAGTTCCGTCTGACAATATTTTTTACCTGTTTATTTTCACATCCTAAAGGTAGGTTGACTTATATGGATAAAAGTTTCTTTTACTCTAAAAGATATATAAGTCATATAGCTGCAACTTCTTTAGTTTATCTATGCCTCGCGTTGAAACCTTAGACTAACATTTGCACACTTCATTTACCTTGTTTGTGGTTTACGCTGTTCAGAGTTCTTATCATTTTTTTTATAATAATTTTCTGTTGATTTTAAACACGTGTAGACTTGTTTGTATCTGCCTTGTGATACTGCCAGCAATTGTGACTCACGATTGTATAGGAAATAATGTTCTGCTCAGCATTTAAGCTACCACTTTCCAGTGCGTCGACCATGATCTGAGTGACATTCAAGCACGTACCACTGATGTGTGTATTAAGTTTTCCTTTAGCCTGACTAGTAATTAATTGAGGACATTTTCGTTAAATTTTGCTCATTTAGCGTTGGATGGTATGATTTAATGGAGGCATTTTACTTCCCTACAATCTTTTGGGCTGTAATCGGTCTGCTGCTTGTGGATTTTATACCCATTGCTTCTGACAGCGTTTTACCTTCCCTAGGTATTCTCTTGTAGATTTTAATTTGTACTTTCTCATGACCAAAGGTCATATCAGAATGGTAATGAAGAATATATTATCTGTATTGAAGTAGCGTACAGTATTCAATGTGCTATTATTTCTGACCTCAAGGCTGAAAATGCGGCAATCTCCCCCCCCCCCGGGGATAACTTGACCCGTCAATAATCTCAATTTTAGCAATGTTTATGTCTTTGTTAAATGATCCATCAACATTGAATTCTGTACTTCCTCTCTTGGGTAAATCCCAAATTCTAGTAGTTTAGTTTTGCAGGAACGGAATCTCAGTATGCCTTTTGCATTCATCTGCGACCTAATCTTCCCGAAATAGTTTCTCAGCATACATCATCGGGATCAATCTTCTGATGTTGAATGCCATCAAATGCGAGAAATCCAGCACCCTTTCATATGTTCTTGAGATGTTTCATTTATCCTTTGATAAACACGTTTGATAGAATTATTATTAGTTATTTATCGTCTTCCTCTTAATAATCTTCAGCACAGCGTCAGATGCACAATGCAATACTCCTATAGGAGTTGACACCACACTACCTAGGAAAGGCAATCCCTCCAAGTTCGGGGGGATGCAGCAAAAATCAGATGTTACTTTCACAACTTTTTCCTCAGTTTAACGTTGCGCACAGAGATACAAGAGCTGTATCTAAAGGAAGGAGCCGAAGGAGCCACAAAACCATTTACGATCTTCAATTATAGAAATGGGATCATGCATTTGCAAGACTCTATTCATAACATACGATAATGTCCATTCGTGAGAGGAAGAACAACCCTATAACACAACAACAACCATAAGCCTAAGAAGAGATGGAAGATAAATAAAAGGGACTCGTTGCCAAGGAGCGTAGCACCGAACGGAGAGTGGTGGAGGTGGTCTTGGTAGAAACAACATAAGACGGCAACATTATAGCCGTCAGCCACAATTACTCATGATACCTCCTGTCGAAGAGAAGGGATATGGAAACGTTAATTCCATTTTGTTTTTCAAGTTTTTCAAAGATCAATGTGTGTAAAGAAGGGGTTCATGCAAATTTTGATAGTACGGCAATCCATATGGCCTTCGTCGTATAGGCATAATCGAGGTTTCACAATGTGAAACTAGTTATAATTACAATTGGAAGCCGGATTACTTAATGCTAATTAGATTTGCAGAATCTTCCAATGAGATGAGAGTTGAGATTATCACGTAACCAATCTAAGGAATCGATGTGTTAGCAATTTAATGCAAGTATCATTTTTATATATGTTTAATCCAGCTATATATGATTGTTTAACTTGAATTTCCATGGCACCAGGGTCACGAGGTGATCGGATTACCGGGAACTAGGATATAAATCCACGTGACCCAATGCCAAGCATCATACCAAAGTGTACTTGCTTGTATTATATCTATGGTTGATATGGTCAATCGGTGTCCTTTGAGAGCCCCCATGTAATGCATCCTCAACTCAACTATTTTTTTTCTTGACCATTTCTCAACTCAACAATTCGAACTTCGTTTTATCAACAATTTTCTGTGTGTTACACGGTATATAATGTCAACTACGACATTATATATTAATATTATTGATTATTATTTATTTAAATATGGAATTCCTTAACATATAACATTCTCATGATCCTCGTCTTCTTGAGAATATCTTATATTTGGAAAAAAAAATAATTTTAGTCGGAAAATAAATAATATTTCCATCCTTTTTGTTCTGATAGATGGAGAAGTTTCAACTAAAACAGAAAATCAGATGTCATTCTGATCACATGATAATATATATCAATTAATGATAATATGCCATATTCAAGTTACAAGAATATTAAAATTAACTCAGACTTTCTGGGAGATGAATTGTTTGGTGGGGTAGGCGATCCTTGGTGTCTTCCACTGCTTAAACAATAGAATGTCGTATTTCTCTGTCTTGTTTCATTTCAGACCACAGACCTTAATTTGATGCGTGAAAGCAGAACAAAATTTGGATTAGAAGAGGTTTTCCGATGCTCCGTAATGATATTTTAATGATGGAACTGAGAATACAGATTGGAATTACAAGAGGGAAAATGTTGTTTATCATTGTGGTTGGCGTCTACAATAGGAACTCAGGAAATCCTCAAGTCTTACCTAATCCAAGTGGCGAATCATAACCTCTCAATTTGTCTTATCCCCTATATATTATCTCACACGAGACCTGAAAAAGTCAACACCGCAGCTTCCCTTGCTTGGCAATATAGTTTCGTCCCACAAGAAGGGAAGGAATTAAGTCGACATTGCCAAAGAGCACAACCTTGGCCCTCAACCCCAATCTTACTATTATTAAACGCATTCTAATGACCTGCGAAGTAGTGATGAAGAGAAGAGCCATGAAACATGCAGGTGGCCGGATCTTGTTGAGCACTCTGATTCTGATGATGCTTTTCTTGTTAAGCTGCTTTTCAGGGCAAGCCCATGGCTCCAGACCCGTCACCCGCTTCAAGACGGTTCAAGCATACTCTGGTCCCAGTCGAGGAGGAAAGGGCCACCAAATTGTTTCTTAATTCTACTTCTTGCCTCTTGCCTCCTGCCTTTTGCATTATATTCACCTCCATTACAATTATCCTCTACGCGCGCGCGCACGTCTTTTCCTTTTGGCTCTTCGCTTCATCAGGCCACCATCAAATTTCACCATTATGATTCTGCACAACTGTTATGCAATTAAGCAGCATTCTGAGTTCAGACCAAAAAAGAACGGCTTCTTTGGACCTTGCAGTGATTTTTATTTTTCACAGTTTGCTTTCAAGGATATGTGTGATCAGTGACTGATGCATAAATCAATCAATCAACTTTACCTGATCATGTATATATGAGTAATAGGATATGTATGGCTTCTGAATTTTGCGCAGCGTTCTCTTCACGTTGGCTCTATTTCTTCCATTATTGATTTCTTCATTCTCAGTGAGCAAGTGATTAATTAGTTTCCCAGAAATATAATATTGAACTCATGCTTCCGCAGTCGCATTTGTATATCTATAACGCAACAAAATTGAAAAAAAGAAGACAAGAAAAAGATTGATATCAGAGATATGAGAGTTTCTGACATAAATATTCAAGTATAATTAATTTAACAATTCTCGGGAATTTTTCAATTGAATTTGATAACTGATTATTAGATCATGCGCTGTGTCTCGAATACGACATCTATTAATTTGTGCAGCACCCATCCCATTTGATTCCTTTATTTTACTGTTCCAGACACAAATTTTGTTTTGCTTTTAGTGCAAAGATCCAAACTTTGTTGTCTGTGTATAGCGTTTTGTAAATATGCATAATGGAAAAGCCCATAGATGTGTCATCTCCTTCTTTTTGAAATGTTTGAAATGGAGGTAGAGATTCAAAGGTCGTGTTAAAAAGAAAAAAAATAGCAGCTGAATAGAAGGTTTGAACTTACACCGGATGACATTTTCGTCGGAAAATGATTTTTTAATATAAAAAATTTGGAATATGATTGCTTAATTCTCTATTTTATATTTTGTTGGGTCATTAGTGTGATCTCTGACAAAATTATTAAATGAAGAAAATATTTGTTTGGTAAAAAATGAAGATAACAAATGATGAGATAAATACTGTAAACGGACAAAATCATGGAAAGAAAACAAATGGGCCCCCAAAAGACGAGCCCAAAGGAGCAGATCCTCCCGGTAATATTTTCGTTGAAAATTAAATTCTCGGAAGCAGATTGCACATTGCAGGATGCCGTAGCAAAAATATAATTTGGCCCATGCAGGTCTCGAACCTGCGACCTTCGCGTTATTAGCACGACGCTCTAACCAGCTGAGCTAATAGGCCAGGTTGACGCTGGGCTGACAATGTCTTTTATAACCTAATGATTTTAGGACAACACTAGCACCTCCCTTCGAACATTCTCTTTGGACCGTTTATAAATTCATTGCCGGTGGGTGGATCCAGTAGAATCTAGATGTTGGGCTAAAGCATAAAATTTCTTTGCGGAAAATAAACGGGGAACAAGGAATCTGAAAGAGGAAGACTATTAATGGTTTATTGTTAAAAACATGCATATTATGCTGGCTAGAGAAGAAATGGCATATCATGAATGCTCATAAAAGTGATAAATTAATGTAAGTTATTCTGATGCCAAAAAAAAAAAAGTAAGTTATTCTATTTTTGGGCGAATTAAACTGTTCTAAGAATACTTACTCTTTAAAAGTAGGGGACGGATAATATAATTAGTAATTCATGCACTATGTAACTATATCATATTTATTTATTTAAGAAATAAGACCCAAGGAGGGAGTATTCATACATATGGGGCATAAGATATCTGCAAAAGAGGGGGTTGGGAAACGAGTGGTGGTGACATAGAGAGGAACACAAGACAAAAGAATCAAAATGGAAAGACATCCAGAGATGAAGTGGAAGGCTTGTCCGAGGAGCGGCGTGTCCAGTGTGGAGTGAACACGACAGCCCCCCACGCAATCTCAATTAAAAGATCCACTTCTCCTTAATGCGCTTCACCCCCATTTCCAATTCCCAAGCCAAACGCGTCTTTATTCAAGTCAGGATTATCTATTACCTCCCTCTTCTTTCCCCCTCAATTTTGATTCTTTTTTTTAAAAAAAAAATCACTGTTACTGAATAAGAGAAAGGTTCAACAGAAAATTTGAAATAAAAACCAAAACGCCAAAGAAGGCCAAAGCAAAGAAAATCTGTACACGGAATATAATCTGAATCATGTTTAATTTTTTTTTTTCTTCAGGATGTTTTATAAGCAGGAAGAATAAGAAATCCATTGAAAATGGGAGCTCAAGAATACAATAGTGCTGGGTCATGGGTATACATGGTGGGAAATGGGTGCTTGTTAAATAGTAGTAATGCGTCACTTGTGGGGATACTGAAAGTGAAACAGCCAATTTGATCTTTGATGAAGTAGTTAACAAGAAGGATGTGACGACGGTGGAAGATAAAGGCAAGAAAAATGAGATCATTTTTCTATTAAAAAAAAAAAAATGGAGGGAGAAGGTGAAGCCAAGAAGGGGCCAGGACAAAATCGTCAATCACTGAAAAGAATCGAAGCGCATTCGTTTCTCATAATGTCGTCTTCGAAAAACCATCGAGAGCAGGTGCATCTTCTAATCTTGACCCTCACTCCTCTCGTGCCCCTCCATTATCTTTTCTCTCCAACCCCTCCCTCACACCCCCCATTATCACCCTCCTTCCTTCTTCCCCCCTCCTGCAACTTTTTTTGTTCAATCCTTCACTTCTCCATTACTTGTCTAAATTACCTTATATATCATCTCCTCTCATTACAGTTTGACCTGGTAAGCTGCCTGTAGACTTTTTTATTATTATTTCTGTTGCAGGATTGGGGGAGGAATTTCTTTTTCTTTTCTTTCTTTTTTTTCAAGTTCATTCAGGCTCAGAGATGAAGCGTCCACATGCCGGCGACGATGAGAAGATGAAAAAGCTGAAGCTGGTGAGTGTGGATGAGCAGGGTGACGATTGGGCTTCAGGGAACCCTAGTGGCCCCCTGTATTTCGACGATAATCTGCTGTTCGAGGTGTTGAAGCACGTGGACGCGAGGACGCTGGCGATGGCGGCCTGCGTGAGCAAGCAGTGGCACAAGACGGCGCAGGATGAGCGGCTTTGGGAGCTGATCTGCACCAAGCAGTGGGCTAACACCGGCTGTGGTGAGCAGCAGCTGCGATCCGTCGTACTTGCCCTCGGCGGCTTCCGTCGTCTCCACGCGCTCTTCCTCTGGCGTCTCTCCAAGCCCCAATCCTCTTCTGCATCCGCGTCGGCCTCCTCCTCCTCGTCGTCGGCGTCTTGGCCTGCGTTCCAGCCGATGATGCGCTCCAAACCGTCCCCTCGCTTAGGGAAAGACGAGGTTCATCTCTCCCTGTCGCTCCTCTCTATTCGCTATTACGAGAAAATGAATTTCAATAACAGAAGCAGATAAATTTTTCGCACCTACTTCTGATTCCTCTTATTTCTATCTTCACCCGCCTGTGAGATTTCGGCTTTGGAGTTATTCTTGTGCAGGTTTTGGATTTCAGATACTAGATCTGTTGTTTTATTGACGAAGAATGAACTGTCTGTTGGGTAAATTCGGAAGGAATCGTTGAATGAGATGTATTATAATATTTGATAAATCCAAAGATTGAATTATGATTTCTGCGGATTTAATTGATTGATTTATATGGTTTGCCATAAGAAAATTAGCAAGGAATGGGCTTCATACTCCAGCAGCCAAGACCTTGCTCTGGAACCGAATGCTCAGAAGGCTCGAATGCGATCGGTATTCCATAGCCGTGGCATTAGGCAAATTATTATTCCTTATTCCTCTTTTGATACACTGAGACACTCTGGTCATGGGACTTGCCAGCAGGAATTGTCTGTTTTGGACGAATACCATGTTTGTCTCTGTTTTCATTTTCCCCTTTTTCTGCTCTCCTTCGCCTCTTAATTTGGTTTTCCATCAATATCCATTTTTTGAAAACTATTAAGGGGATGTGACGACAATGAAAGCTGGTAGCAACGTGATTTGGAAAGATAAACTCATGAATAATGACTTGTCATTGGGATTTATGGCAGAATTATACTATTTCTATCCAAGTTAAATTTAGCTTTTTTGACATCCGCTTAATTAAGTCTACTCTCACATGCGAACTTTCCCTTAGGCGGAAATAGTTTGATGCAGCGAATTTTATTGGCTAACAGTAACTCCTATTGGAGAGCATGACACAGATATTTGAGGCTGGACTGTACAATAACATCCCAAATCAATTGCAAACCATGTTTTTAGGGAACGCATTCTTTTGAAAATAAATGAACAAAAAGCCAGAAATTTCCATGCATATGAATCAATCACTGGGACGCCGTCGGCGATAGAAACTCACTCTAAACACGTTGGCATCGAGAGTAGAGAAAATTAACAGGCACTAGGTCCAAACATAGGAGGATGTGAAGAGGAGCAGAGAGATCCATTGGCGGGCAGTGAGCCGGTGCGATCCATGATGATTTGTTCATTCGCCTACTCTGCAATAACTGGCCTTTGCTATTTTAATATTGATATTGATGCTGACATTAGTCATTCTTATTTAATTATGATAAAAACGCATCGCCCTCTTCAATTCGCTCAGGAGTGAGAAAGGTGACCACCTTGGGAGAATTTTACTCAGAATGTGCGGAGGAAAACCCATGAGGATCATACACTGGTTATCCAACAATCATGTTTAACTTCTTTTTGAGTGCTAAATAGAGCGGACAATTCCTTTGAGACAGTTAAGGATGCATCTTTATTAGCCAAAGAAAATGATAGAAACACCTCTGAACACATCACATTTAAGGCCTGTTTGGATATCACTCAAGACCATAGTTTGGGAGTCAAAACTATGGTTTGGACCAAGTGATAACCAAACAGCCTCATTTTTATCAAAACCTTGGTTTGAGGGAAAACCTTGGTTTTAACTAGTGAAACCATAGTTTATCGAAAAGTGAGAATTTTTCTGGGCTTGAAAATGAGTCATGTGAGTGATTATTAGGAGTGTCAGAAGCTGCCAATCATTTATTTGACAAAAATACCCACAAGAATTGTTTCACGCCTGTTCGCCTGTCGACGCCTTTGATCCTGCCATTGCTTGGACTCTGGGACTTTTGTTTCTTGCTGGAACGCTAATGAAGCTGAACCAATTTTCTAAATATAATATCATTTAGTTTTCCCTTTGACCCAAAAAAAAATAGTAATATCGTTTGTTTTCATGGCTTTGTTAGCAAATGTTATCATTTTTCCTTTCCGCCTAGATTAGATTGTTCGACCGAGAAAATCAAATATATATACACATATTAATTGTTTATTAATTATATTATCTTATATATTATTAATTATGTTAGTAAAAATACATTATTAACAATTTTATTTCTTCACATTAAAATATATTATAAAATTTCTCTTTTATGTAATTATCATATTTAGTAATTTACACATATAAAAAGTGATTCTAATAACAACTATCCAAACACTCTCACTTTATCAAAATCATTTTTTTATAAAATCTATTCTTCACAAAATCTATTTTCTCAAAATCTATTCTCCAGAAGTTATTTTCCAAACTATGGTTTGGTTTTATCCAAACACTCCCTTAACCCCCCAAAAATAGAAACAAAGAAACACCAGCCAGGCCGTTTTAAACCTTTTTTTTTTCCAGCAACTTCCAGTTTTCAACTTTTGCCAATATATGAAGTGGCTTTTCTCTGGGGACTGAATGATTCAGTGGAATGAATAATGCGAATGTGATTCATCATGACTATAATTCCGGGTTAAAGAAAATCTAATTTGGTTTTCTTTTTATCGCCGTGGGGCTGATGATGAGTTCGTTGCTAACCTATGGATTAATTTGGTCGTCGAATGAACTGGTAGGATGTAAAGAGTAATCCAAATGTACAATTTTAATTGAAAATTATAATGAAAATATAACGAATTATAAATCAAATATTTTAAGTGACTACATAACAAATTATGGTACGAATCATCTTTAGTTTCAAAATCATTATTCGATCCTATATATATGCGCCAACCAACTCTACCTATATCAAAATCAATACAAGGAGGCACAAGATCTACAATGTAGTTGCATTTATTTTCAAAATGTACAATAAAAAAATTGAACAAATTAAAAGACAATGACGTTTAATTTCCATAGGAAAACAAGTATGAGAGCATGCAATAATTAGGCGAGATTGTAAAGGAAGCCGCAGAAGACGAAGAATAATGGAATTTCCAAAAGAGGGGATACATTGTGGGAGAGACATATGGCACGAGGAGGGAATCTAGTGCACGGAAATAGCTGCCGTCTGTGGCGCGGTCAAAGTGAAGCGGAAGGTTTGATTCCTGCGAACACCATCTAAACCCAGCAAATTTGTCGGTAGAAGCCGCCCATGACTCTTCGATACGCCACCCTCCAGATTGCCTAGATCTTCCCCTCGCCAAACTCTCGCCGCCCCTCCCCATTAAAGACCCGTCAATTACTGTTGAACCCCTCCCTCTTTCCATTCCCACTTTTGACTTCCCCCTCCCCCTGTTTTTCCTCCCCCCCCCCCCCAACCAAAATCATCAATAAAATCTTCAATATAGCATATCAATTCGTAGGATATTAAGCCATTTCCACTCGATCGTGTTGTTTGGTTGGGACTGCTTTCCAAAATTACTGCGTCAATGTTATTTTCGAAGTCAAGTGCGGCCTTGCGCACGCGGTTGCGCACGCACGTGGTCGGAGTTCCAAATGGGCGGCACTGCTCTTCTGATCACCAAACAACTTCTTGCTTTCCATTACTTTCGGAATCACACGTCAAATTCACGTCCCTTTCCTTTTAATTCCTATTTACTTTCCAATTTCCATTCTTGACTTGGTCACCTCGTATGAAAAAAACATTCTCTTTCAAACTCCACTCGCATTCACCGCTCTATATAACAGAAGCGCATATCCGACCTCCACTTCAATCCAGGACCAAACTCAGATATCACAAACTCCGTCCCATCCTTCGCACATAGCATCCCCCTGGGCTAATCGAGCGCTTCAGTATAATGGCCCAAAATCCTCAGTCCCTCAAGCTCGTGTGTGTTTGGCTTCTTCTGGCAAGTTCTTTCATCGTCGTAACACAAAGTCGGCCTTACCCTGTTGAGGACGGTGAGAAATTCACTGGGCCCATTAGCAAAGGGGTTGAAGGTACGTTGAAGGGATTAAATTTAAGAGGGCTGAAGACAGCAGGACCAAGCTCAAGAGGGGTGGGACACTCGTCCCCCAATTCTCGGAATCTCAGAGTCACCACAATGTCGGGTCCGAGCCCCGGCGTAGGACACTGAGCCTTTATGGATTCGATTCAATCAATGCAGGCTCGATCGTTCTTATAATTCTTCGCCACTGTCCCTCCGTTTTCTTCGTTATTTATTCTTTTCTGGTTCATTCGCTGCCGAGGTTTTCTTCCTGCATTAGTCGAATTTTAAGACGATGACAGTTTATGCCTTGGCAATATAGTGCTGTATTCCCTCTCACAAAGGAGAGAAGCTGGTCTCTTGTAATGGGCTAGTTGTTTATTCAAAATAATTGAGTGCTGCATGGTTTAATTATGCGTATTCATATTTGGCAGAATATGCTTATTAAGTTTGAATAGTTCGGACCTTCTCTAAAAGAGTCTGGTACTGATACATAACCATATCCTTTGCAGTATGGGGACTTGTGTATGGAAGAAACATCCACAATATTTTGATAATCATGCATTATGCAATTTGTAAAGGATTGATTTTAAAAATGTCAATTAAATATTAATGAAATAAGATAAGATAAAAATATATATTTAATTGCCGGGGAATTTAAAGTATACATGAAGTGTGTCATTAAAAGTGATTGTTGTTGTTGAAACACTTAAAGGGAGGGACAACCAGTGAAGTGTTAAAACTCTCGAGTTTGATTTACCTGCAAGATTAGTAAATAATATCTTCTCCATATCTAAATATTTTTCAAAAATGAAATTTAACTTCCTCTTGAAATTAGCAATATTCTCTTACTCTTAACAAGTGGAATGATCGATTTTTGTTATAAAAAAAAAAAAAGAAGAAGATTTACAAGATAAATTTTAAAAAATAAAAGGATCTAAACGGAACAATTTTTAACCCCAGAAGACTAATGTATTTAGATCACGAGCCCTTGAAGATTGACCTTTTTAGGTTTCGTTGAAAAAAAAAGTCAATAATTTTGAAACCCAACCATAGAAAATTTTGAGCTTCAGCGGGTTTGAGCCATTTTCTGAACTTTAATCAAAATTTATGAATTAAGTTAATAATTAAGAGAAGGTTCAGAAATTTAAAATTACGTTTTTCTCAAACAAATTAAATAACTACATGATGTGCATGGCCTCTCAATTCCCACAAGATCTACTTCTAGTAGCTGCCAAAACTTCTAACTAAGGAGATATACTCCTTTGGTCTTTAATATATGACCTAATTATTGATTTGATCTTGGTTTTAAATGTAAGGCCTATTTATCATATTTATCAATTTTTCTTAAAATATCTTTATGGATATTCTCTCAACCATAATTAAGGAAGGATATTAAAAAAGATGATTACGATGTTTTAGAAAAAATATGTCATATTTTTTATAATTAACTAATTTACTTAACTTTCTTAATCTAATTAAATTAGTTAAATAGATATTATATTAAGGACCGGATGAGTAGTTAATTTGGCAAACCTTCCCACCCACCTCGCTAATGACAATGATAGCAAGCTTGATAACTACGTGCTCTATATATTAGGATTATAAGAACAGGAAAATTTCTCAAGAACAAGAAAATTTCTCTTCAAAACTAAGTACTGTCATTGTCACGTTACCTAAAAAGAAATGTCACGTTTCATTTGTTAATTGAGTTATGATTAATGATAATATTACCTCTGATTCTAATTATAAGACCTTGTTTGTAGTTTACAAACAAAATCTTATAAATAAGATCAGAAGCAGGGTATGTGTGTGTGTATATATATCTTTTACACATTCTCTGATTCTGTTTTCAACACTTACAAAATTTATCATATTAAATAGGATGCAAGAGCTTCTTTCAAATTTCAGTCCCTTTTCATCCATTTCTTGACCTTCAAAACAAAAGGTTAATATTATGAACATGCTATTCTTCGATCTAAATGGAATGGGGTGGTGAAAAGAATAAATTGATTATATGAAGTCAAATGGGTTGAAGCCATCGGTGAGCCACATGGTCGGAATTTCAAATGGGCGGTAACGTGGCTGTTTTGAAAACCAAACAACCTGTTACTTTCCATGCGCACAGCCGATTGCTTTCGGAAACAGAGGTCAATTTGGAATCCTTTGCTTTTCCTCGTTCCTTTGCTGTCATGACTTCATCACCTCGTATCAACCCACATTCCCTTTTGAACTCCACTCGCATTAATTCACCACTCTGTATAAGAGAATCGCATATCCAGCCTCCTCTTCAATTCTGAACCAAGCTCAGATATCGCAAACTCCATCCATCCCCTCCTTCACCACAGCATCGCCGTCTATAGCTCTCATTAGCTTATTATAAGTGCTTCAATGGCCCAGGATCTAAAGCTCCTCAAGCTTGTTTGTGTTTGGCTTCTTCTAGCCAGCTCCTTCCTCGTCATTACAGAAGGTCGACCTTAACCCGTTGAAGGTAATGGTGATGACAAGTTTAGTGGGTCGTCTATTAGCAAAGGGATCGAAGGCATGTTGGAGGGATTACACATGAGAGGGGTGAGGACAGGAGGACCAAGCTCAAGAGGGGCAGGACACTCGTCCTCCAATTCTCGGAATCTCAGAGTCACCACCACGTCGGGTCCCAGCCCCGGCGCAGGACACTAGGCCCTTCCCAATCCATATACTGCATGGCTCTTGCTTATCTTCGTCGCCATCTCACATTTTCTTTTTCACTGTTTATTCTTTCCTGGTTCATTAGTTACAGAGGTTTTCTTGCTGTGTTTGCAGGATTTTAGGACGCTTATATGCTGTGCTGGAATTGTAATTAACGTGCTGGGCAAATGGCCGGGCGCTTGACAATGTTTTGTTCCCTCAGAGAAGCGGACTTCTTGTTGTGAAGTGAACTAGTTGCTAATTCAAAATGATTCCGTTTCAACAGTTCAAACCTGCTCCTTTAGAATAAGTCGAAAATCTAGTTGGCCAAAATAAATGTAATAATGATATATTATCCTTCGCAATAGAGAATTCCTCCACGCACGATTCGATTATTTTCTTGCGTCCAGTTTTTCAGACAGTGTTAAAAGCCAACTAGCAGGGTACTCTTCTAAATATCATTGCAACAGAGAATTCACATTTGCTGATTAAAGTTAATTCACAGCAAGAGTTCTTTCTTTCTTTCTTTCTTTCTTTCTTTCTTTCTGGGACAAACGGGGACCTAATTAGTGCTACATTAAATAGAATAAAATGCACAAAACAAACTAAATAACAACTGTGCATGGCGTCTTAATACCTGCAAGTCTGCAACTGCAAGATCCTCATTGCGGCAACTGCTGAAGCTCCGCATTTATTTCAAGCTTTGGTTGTCATTATATTGTAACCTTTTTTTTTTTTTTTTTTTAAATGATAGCTTGATGCTTTGCTTGATAACTACTCTAACAGGATCATCATGAGAATAGTAAAATTTCTCTTCAAAGAAGAGTAATGTCATTAATTATCACATTATATAAGAAGAAAGTGTTTCCTTTACTACTGAATTGATTAATGACTAATAATATTATCTTTCCAACAGGCTTACAAAACTTAACATATTCAATGGAATTTTAGAGTCTCTTTCCAAATTCTAGTTCCTTTTCCAATCCTTTTGCCTTTACAACCATTAGTTACTCTAACGTGAATATTACAAACATGCTATTATTCAATCTAAAAGGAGAGGTCAAAAAACTAAATTTCAATTAATACAGACTTACGCTGTTTAAATTTTGTAGGTAGAATTCTATGATGAGAGCAAATCACTTGGCTAAAGCCTAGAGGTGTACACCTGCATAATAAAGATGACCATTAAAAACATTGATTTGAACAAGAAGAAGAGGACGGCAGCACGCTTCCCACTTATAGGAGTTTTGAAAAACGAGTCATGTTGCTTATGTCTTGTAAATAAATATCGTTTATATGTTATAAATTTTATTGGTGCCTACGGAAGTGCAAAAGGCTTATTGAAATTGATATAAAACATACACAATTTTTTTGTTTGTTAATCATGAAAAACGTGAATCACTTACTTCGTGTAATACATGGAAATATATATTTATTTTCTTTTTTCTCTTATAGGTACAAATCCACGACCTACATGGGATACTTCTTAATGAAATCCGATGTAATATATCCTCTCAATCTAATGAAATGGCGCTCAACGCACATGATATCTATAATAATTTATGAGAAAAATTGCAATTAGGTCTCATCTAAGAAAATTAAATACAAAAAAATTTCTTAAAATCATGAAATTATTTTGAAGTCTTAAGGGATTTTTTTACAATAAATTTTATTTACTTAATTACCAAATTACCCTTATTATTTTTTTAAGTTTGTATTGACAATTGAAAGAGTAGTCGTTGACAACATAAAGTGTAAGGATTGACAACTATTATGACAGGTATTGACAACATATTTTCTCAGCACATCATAAAATGTAATGCATGAGTTGTCAATCCTTACACTTTAAGTTATCAACCACTACTCTTTCAGTTGCCAATGCAAATTAAAAAAAAAAAGGTAATTTGGTAATTAACAAAATAAAAATTATTGTAATAAGATCCCCTAAGACTTCAGAATAATTTCATGATTTCAAAATATTTTTGTGTATTTAATTGTCTTGGGTGAGACCTAATTGTAATATTTCCTAATTTATGGCTCTTTCTTTTGGCCAAAAGAAAACAGGAGAATTACATTCAAGTCCCACAGAAGAGAAATAATAACTAAAAGGTCCCAATAACAACCTGACCAGCTACAGTAAGAATGACAACCTATAGGACTTGTTTTTCAATTACTTTTTTTGTTTGGGACCTCATTATAATTCTCCTAAAGAAAAAATATGGCTTTTTCCTAATTTATGGCTCTTTCTCTTGGCCCAAAAAAAAATACGGCTCTTTCTCCTTATGAGGATAGCTTATAGCTTTTGACTAAGATAACTTGGTTATAATGGCTGTCCCCATATATAAATTATTTTTAATTAACTTATTAAAATTAAAGTGAATTGGTTAGCATAATAAAATTATATTAAAATTAATTTTTTTTATTTTCTCTGTAAATATTATCATTAAATATTTTTAATATTAAGTAATTAATATGAAAATATGCTCTAAAAGTTTTCGTTTAGGAGCAATACTGTCCTGTAAATTTTTTCAGATTTAATATTACCCTAAACATTAATTATGTTGCCCCACCTGTTGAAAAATTCACATTAATTGTTACTATTTTTAATAATAAGGAACAATATTAATTCATTTTATTTTTTAGGACAACCTTGAATTCTAAAAACTTTTCGAGGCAATCTTGAAATTCAAAAAAAAAAAAAATTGAGGTAACATGGCTACTAAGTAAAAACGTCGGGCGCAAATTCGTACTTTAACCCTACATAAGACGTGATTGGAAGATATTCTTGCTTGGAATTTCAATTTCTTCGTTTAATCGTTTTCGTAGCGTATCGATTTGGGAAGGAGATCGTGTTTAGGGTGGCAAAGGGAGAGGGCACAAGTTTGCCTCCAACTTGGGAAGGAAAACTCAAGGATCGGTTGCTGTGGCCTTCGCTGCTGTGATTTCGTCATCCATGGCAGTGGCACTTCCCACGTAACAAGAAATCGAAAGAAGTGTCGCGAAACTTGGAGTCCTGAAGCCCCAAATACAAGAACGCGCAATCTTTGAGCCGATTGAATGGGAAGCTCCGAGACTTCTACTGGAACTGCCCATAATTCTGCGACGGAGTCGGGCACCAGTAGTAGTACCCACTCTGATAATGATGTCGCCCACAACTCTGATTCCCCTCCCTTCGCCGAAACAGAGAAAGTCCTTGCCTCCCATAATGGTCGAATCTATGAAGCTAAGGTATTCTCTGCTCCAACCTTTTCTTTGTTCCCTTCCATTTCTTTTTTCCTGCCTTTTTTATGCTATCGACCTGCATATCTCTGTCTGATTGACTTTAATAATCCATCGCTTCGAATCGTTATGTTGAAGTAACGTGAATTGTTGCTATTGTGTCAGCTGGTGACTACTTGTGTAAGGACAGAGAGTAATTCTACAAATTGAACTACTCATAACTGTTATTTATCTTGTTTCAAAGGTGATAAGGATTCAGTACAGGCAGAATGAATGGAGCTTCTTCGTTCATTATCTTGTGAGTAGTCTGTTACTTTTCGATATATCTCTTTCTTGTACCTTCCTCGTGGATTTCTGGTTCCATTCTGGCATCTTTCTTATTCTCTTAAATCAAATCAGCGTTATTTTTATTACCAAAAAAAAAAAATCAGCGTTATTTATCTTCCTTTCTTCTCCTCCTCTTTTTTCTTTCAGGGTTGGAAGAAAAGGTAGACATGTTGTCCTTTTAGTCAGCCACAATAGAAGAAGGTTTTTGACTTTAAAATTCAAGAACTCCGGTATCATTTGGTTTCTTAGTGCCTGTTTCTGCTACAGCTGGGATGAATGGGTCGGGCTGGATCGTTTGATGAAATACACCGAGGAAAATTTACAGAAAAAACTTGCACATGAGAAGGATGACAATGACAAGAATACAAAAGCAGCCCGTGCGTCACAACTCAAGTCCAAAAGTTCGAACGGTCAGACACTTCTTCCATATACTTTAATTATTTCAAAGTACCCAATCACTTGAGACTTGCTGGTTATTTTTTCTGAGGAAAAAGCATTTGCAGTTGACAGTCATCCCCCTCCCTTCTCAAGACAAGAAGAAAATGTAGGATGATTGGTCTATTCTTAACACTTATAGGGACTAAATGATAATATTTGGCAGTTAACTAATGCAAGAGTTTGTCTTTCATCTTCTCTTTTTAACATAATCGAACCATTTGCTCGTATGGAAGAAAAATTTGACAGTTCACTTGCTGCTATAATTTTCCCCCAATACATCTATATTAGGCAATTCATTTTCCATGTTATGGTATCCTCAACCCATTAAGATAATATAATTATGAGTTGCCATCAAAACCAGTTGGCCCGGAATTTATGTGATCTAGATATATGGCTATAAGGTAATCTTGTCTTATATTTTTATGAATAAAAAGAGTAAAAAACTTTATGTTTTACAGTTTACAAATATCTTAAATCAAGTCTTCTCTAGTCTCTCCGTGTGCTCACTCTCTCTATTTTGTTCAAATGTGACGCAGCAGCAAGAGGCAAGAAGCGAAAGAGTGAATCTCTTGTTAAGGTACTCCCTAGTTTTAAATTTTATATAAATCACTCATCGTGTTCCCAGGAATTTTCTTAAGTGCCTATGAGTTAATTTTAACTCAGTTAAATTAGTCAAAAGATATTTATTGATTCTATAAAAATAATATTAATTGAAATATTGAAAATTTTCTCCTTTTCTTGGTAAGGGGACGGTTTTATAATCCTTTTTCTTAAGTGCCTATAAGTTAATTTTAGCTCAGTTAAATTAGTCAAACAATATTTGTTGATTCTATAATAAATAATATTCATTGAAATTTTGAAAATTTTCTCCTTTTCTTGGTGAGGGGACAGTTTTGCTCATATTTCATTTTGCCATAGAATCTAACTAAAGTTACTTTTGTTTTTGCTAAATCTTAGGAAAAAGCTGCTGTACATTCTGAAAAGTTAGTGAGCCTTCAGATTCCCCCACCACTCAAGAAGCAATTAGTCGATGATTGTGAATTTATTACCCATCTGGGCAAGGTAGCCAGTTTATTGTGGCCATTTATAGCTTTGTCTGGAATACTAGTCAATTTATTACTCTCTTTGAAACAGTTGCTAGGACAAATTATGTAACATGTTATTTTCTTCTTTACCTTTTGCTTCAGATGCCTTCATAATTCTTATGAATTTCATGTAATCCTTTTCTTACGTCTGAGCCATCTTGGATTTTGATTATCTGTGATTCTTTGAGAACTTTCAAGATTCATTTATTATACAATCTCTTTTGTCAAGGAAATTTAGACTCTAGGAGGCAATCAAGATGATATAGCTGCACTCAAGATGTCTAAAGGCATAGATTTAGCTATATGTTTAAAAAGCCAAAGTATATCTAGCTCTCTTGAAATTTTAGCTGTATGAACTTCTATAAATTATTAATGACATCAATTCTGCTATAACTCCTAGCTACCGTACCAAATTTGGGAGTTTTGAATAGCATGGTATCTTGCTATCTTATACCATGGTATTCAATACGTTAGAGAATGTCAAGTTAATGGCTCCTCAGTTGCTTTTGCTGCCAATGGTTTTCGGCCCAATAGTTACATAAGGAGAAATTTGTGTTTATGGTTATTTCCATGTCCTCATCCTATAGCTATATTGCATTATTCTGATATTTAATGCTTGGTGTTCATTATTTTTTTAGATCTGGCCACGTGCTCATTTATTGCATCTTATTTTAGTGATCATATGGATGTTTGACTGGGATGATCTAGGTTTTCCTCTATGACTTTTGCCTGTGAGGCCCTAAGATGTTGAAACTCTATGCCATCCAATTCTTTTTTTCTTTTCTTTTCTTTCCTTTTTTTTGTGAATCTATGCCATCCAATTCTTGTTGAAAAGAATTTACCATATTCTTCTGTGCAGCTTGTCAAACTTCCTCGAACTCCAAATGTGAATGACATTGTGAAGAAGTATCTTGATTACAGGTCGAAGAAAGATGGAACGTAAGTCCTTGCAAAGGCCCCCCCCCCCAAAAAAAAAAAAAAGGTCACAAAAAAAAGAGCATGATATTTGAAGAGGGTTTGAGCACAAGGTCGCTACAGTAATCTGTCTTGTGTACCAAAGAAAATGAATTGTTTTTTTTTGGTTAAAAGTGGAGGGAAAATCTTATGCTAGTTTGACTCTTTGGCAAATGTAAACCCCCCCCCCCCCCAAAGTTTTATTTTTGGCAGTTAACTGCTCAAACTTTCAATATATAGTGGTTAACCCCTTCCACTCACTAAAAAGATTAACGTTAGGACGCATTTACTAAGTATGAAAATTGAGCCCCATGTTGGAAATATGGGATCTGGATGTGGGGCTTGTAAGGACTCTGGGCTTTCCAGCCTCTTGAGCCAGCTTATTAGACTTAGAGTGTAGTTTTCTCAAAGTTTCTTATGGGCATCATTGTGGGATGGGGAATCTCCTCTAAAACCTAACTATTAATGTCGGAGAACCAACTTTAAGTGTTCCATAGAACTTCTTATATTCTTCAATGTGGGACTTAGGCATCTCATACCATCTTAATTTCCATCAATCGGTCCTTCTTAGAGGGTCAATGTCTTGATCACTGCACTTTGCGAGACTCCACTCGATGACACTTGTCTTCTTCTCTAGTTAGAACTCTTTGATTAAAATGCGCCGAAAATAGCCCTCTTTTGTAAAGGAAAAAAGCCACAAGCTGGCACCTAAGTGGGGTTGAAATTTCCCCCAACAGCCAGCTATTGAAGGCGCATGCATTTTGTCCCCCATTGAAATCATCCAAGTTTGCAAATTCCTTTCCTTTTCTATTCATTTACGTTGAATTTATAGGCAATAGCCTCATATTCTTCGTCAGGGTCAATATTTTGCGATCATTCCATATATTCAGTGAGTTGATTGTCACAAACACTATATTTTCTCGCATACCTTTTGGTATAACATGTAATATCCTATGCTTATAATATATCATAGTTAAGTTTATCTGGCTGTTAAGTGCTTCGAAAGAAATATTGATTTTATTTATAACAATTTTTTCACGGTTGATGTGATAACCTTATTTTACAAGCAAGTTTCGTTATGATGAATCTGTGCATTTATTTTCAGCTTAGTGTCAATATTTGCTTCTTAATATGCTTAGTTGTTACTGTTTAACGCAATTTGTTTAATATAGGATAGCTGATTCAGTTGGAGAAATTTTCAAGGGGTTGTGCTGTTACTTTGACAAAGCACTACCAGCAATGCTCTTGTACAAGAACGAGCGTAAGCAGTACCAAGAAGCTTGCCCTGATGATATCATTCCTTCTACTGTATATGGTGCAGAACATTTGTTACGTCTCTTTGGTATGCTCTTTGACAGTGAGGGCGGGCTAATACGTTGTAGAGTTACGAATTTGTTATCTGTGCGATGGAAGGGTTTTTTCTTTTTCTTTTTTGGGGTAAATATGGAAGGGCCTTATTATAACCACTTTGTGAGTTTGTGATTTGTCATTACCCCTAGTGTTAAAACATGGAGCGCTATGTGGTGTTTTGCTCTCTGCCGAACTGACATCATCAAAATGATGACCTTTTGCCCAGCCTTACATAGACATTTAGATTATCCATTAGGTGTTCTCTGTTATTGGGCTTATTGGTATGGCTTCTAGACTAGCAGCGAATTTATCTTTTTATTCTCATGGTTTCCCCAAATTTTTGCGGGATAAAGTGTTATTTTTTATCCAGTACCATTTTGGTTATGTCATATTTCTGTTCTATGAAAAAAAAAATAATAATAATAATGTAACTGTTCTGGATTGGCAGTTAAGTTGCCCGAATTATTGTTCCATGCCAATATTGAAATGGAGACAATGATGCAACTGCAGGCAAAATTGGTTGACTTTCTCAAGTATATTCTCTTCTCCTTCCATTAAAGTTTTATTTTTACATATGGCTATTTGTTTTCTGCGTTCAATTTCAAAATTGTAGTAAAATATGATCAATAGTGGGTGAAAATGAATAGAGAGACGAAGGGCTTTATTGGGGGGAGGGGAGTGAAGAAGTTCAACTATATGGAACTGTTCCTTTTAGACGTCACCTCAGCCTTCACATTTTTCACTTGTAACTTGTGTGATCGGCCATTGCCGTGTGCTTGACTATTATGTCTGTTGCGATGCAGGTTTCTACAGAAAAATCAGAACTCTTTTTTTCTGTCGACTTACCATGTCCCAGAAGACATTGAGAACAGCACCAACAAACCAGACGACTAGCTTAGGAGCCTGTTTGTACATACTGCTGGGCTGTTTCTGTGATAGCAGATATTTCAGAATCGACATATATTTGTTCTGGATCGTATGAATTCTTGGGAGCCGATTGTCAGCGTCAGCGATGTTGAGGCTGGGTGAGTGACATTTCCAGAAGGAATATGACAGACCCTCAATTTTGTAAAATGCATTGTATTTCTGAAATTTGCAGCGGGGTTAGTCTCCTGTGTTGCGTAACTTGAATGCGCCTGAACCTGCTTGCAGATCGCTAACTCTTTCGATAACCTCCACAATAGAACCACAACCATAGCTTTGAGCGTATTTCTTTTGTTTTTCTGCTCAACGATACCGATTCCTTTTCACGCCATCCAATCATTGTTGATATTAATAAATTTAATTTTCAAAAATACTTTTAAAATTAAAGATCCTTCCATATAACTAGACATAGCTTTAAATTGAAGTTGTCATATGTCAACTACAGGTATTTTTTTCCTTCTTTCAGGTTAATTAATACAAAGTAGTCTTCCTATTATCTGAAATCTATTAGTATGGTCATTTTGCCTATAAAAGATCAATATGATTGGTAAAAATGCAATTTGCATCTTTCAGTGGGGCAAGTTTAAATTCCATTCGATACGTGAAACAGAATCTTTTTAACTGATGACAAGGGCAATGCTTTGTGCAGCCCTAATCCTATGTTGTTGCATTCTGCATTCCTAATCTTCATCTACGAAGAGGCCTAGGAATTCTCAAGCAGAAGTGAGGGGCGGATTTGGCTTAAGCATAGCATGCAGCCTAAAGTAGATTGTATTCGAGTCGCCTGATATTGGCTCCGATGATGATCAAGGCGTTGTGTGAATAGAAGCCAGCGATTCAAACCCTCCTAATACATATCAAATAGATTATATCATAAGTGAAATAAAATCAGATCTTTGAAGAGGAATAACAAGACAACATTATTGAATACAGATGTTTAACTATATGATAAAATTAAAACGAGTGAATTAGGTCAATCAACGATTAACAAACAAGAATGGTCTATAAATGTTTATCCATGTAGGCGCGTGAGATTTTTCGTTTCTTTCGACCAAAGTGCGTGACTATGGTTGTTTAAAAGTAATAGATAGTTGATTTGTCAACTATATACATAAATAATATTGATGAGAAATAATAACCCTTCACACATGCTTTGGGAATAGCGAGGATTGCAATAATTTTTTTTTTTTTGTTGCTAAGTGTAAATACCCTCAAATTAGAGACAATTATATTTGATGCACTATTGAATACTGAGTGTGGACATTTTTTTTTAGCGGGAATTTAAATATTAATTTGCCATGTTATGAGAAACTAACCTTTTTTATTAGACCTAACCCCATGAGTTGCAATAAATTTTAATGTACATTATTTTTCCTAATTATTCATTGTATTGTATACATTCTGATGTGCGATTGAGGCGAATACTCAATCATTAATTAAAAGCCCAAGAAGGATAGCGTGGGATATGACTCAAAAAAGATGGCTCATGTATAGATGGTCCAATTTTAGGGTCAACTATGACGTGGCATTATTGTATAGTTATCTTCTTGTAATTTAATGAGACATAATGCCAAGTTGTTGTCCCTCTCACGCCGCCCTCGTTGGAATATATGCAAGAGTCATAAAAATTGGAACCACATTAATTCCCTAAAAATGGCACATTGTTTTGATACCCCATTTGCATGCTTTGGTTTGCCCCATTCTAAACAGCGGTCCTCTCTCTTAGCAGTTAGCAGTTAGCAGTGAGCGCACAGAGTCATGGATTCATGCTCCGCAGTTACGCCTCCTATTCAGTTGTAATTAAAATCATACTCCTCCGATCCTTAATATAGGACCTAATTATTGAATTGGTTTTGGTTCTAAATATAAGACCCATTTCTCATATTTATCAATTTTCTCTAAATTACCCCTATGAATACTCTTTCAACCATAATCAAATAGAAGAGAAAGAAGGAATATTAAGAAAGAAGATTATGGTATTTTAAAAAAAAACATATCATATTTCTTATAATTAACTAACTTACCTAATTTCCTTAATTAAATCAAATTAGTTAAATGAGTCTTATATTAAGGATCGGAGAAGTATTATTTAAGAATCCAACAATATAAGTGGATCTAATATTAAACTGAATTTCAGATCTAGCTCAACAATAATTAGTTCAAGGCTGCAGATATTTACATTCGACGATAATTATATTATTATTCCATGATCAGCTGATTCAACCAACTCTACCGGCCATGTTTTAGGATATAATATTACAATTAAAATATCTCTCATTTTTCTTTGATTTATCATCAATTACTACACAAGATAACTACGTGAGGGAGTACTCACTGTTTCTTTGTTTTTGGTGAAGTAGAGCATTCAATGTTTCTAAATGGTGTATTTTCATTATCACAACACTTGCCGACGATGGCTAATTGTATACGGCGTGCGCATGTGTAGTTTTACTAATATATTTTTAAGACGCGAACGGATCAACTTTATCGATGTACGGCTGAGACGAACACGCGGCGGCCGGCGGCTAATTAAAAGCTCTGGCAGGAGAGCGCCGTGATAGCCAGCCCAGCTCTCTGGAGAGAAGTCAAGAAGATGAGGTGAGGAATGAATTTTGTAATTAAGGACAATAAGATATACTACCTGCTTGTTAATATAAAAAGTTAATTAACTGATTTAAATAGACTAGTAAAATTTGTTAAGTTAATTATTTATAATAAATAAATTTTATCTTTTCTATAATACTTTTATTAATCATGCGCATTAACTAAAACTACTATTTGATATAATTTTTAACATGTGTAACTGTTACAAGAATTATTTTTAAAAAAAATAGATAAATATGAAAGACAAAATAAATTAAAATCTTATATTTAAAATCAAATCAAATATTAAACTAGTTTTTATATTAAGTGTGAGAAGTAATATATTTATAATTAGACAATTCAAAACTCCTCTCCCCCACGGGAAAAGGACCACATTTCGCACATACACACCCACCTACTTTCGTCGTTATGGGCATAGAATCCATAACCTCCTTTTACGAGAGAAGGTGTGAGGTGCCATTGAACCAAGTGGTTCTTGGCCCATATATACACAAACATATTCTGGTTCTTAATAAGAACTTATTTAACTTTTATTTTGATCCTAAATATAAGATATCAATTCACTTTGTCTCTCATATTTATTCATTTTTTTTAAGATAGTCTTTTTAGTAATAGTAGTTTTAGCTAATATATTTGATTAGTAAGGGTATTTTAAGAAAAACAATACTTATTTATTACAAATAACTAACTGAACAAACTTTCTTAATATACTCAAATTAGTTAATTGACTTTTATATTAAGAACCAAAGGTAGTGCATGTACTGTGTATGTGTATGAAGTTCCATGGCTTCATTATATTAATGCCAACTTGTTTTTCCTCCCTACCAATTTCAGCTTCTTGTCTTGTTTTTTCATTTCCAAGCAATCACCACCTCCCCCTTGCACTCCGTTGGAAGCATGCAGTTATCGATATTATTATTCGGTGCCACCTGTCAAGTTGCCGGATTTGGACAAAAGTCAGCGATTCATGTGATGATGGTTCCACTTGCTCAGCATCCAGCCGGTCCGTGAATGAATGAATTCGTCCATATCTCATCCTTCAATTAATATTGCATCACACCCGAGCTCAAAGCCTGTCTAATTATAATTACCACGTACAAGTGAAAACTGATCCACCAAAGGCCAAAGGTTATCATGCGATAGGAAATGGAATTAATGCTTTTGCAACATTCTTGCTCTATGATAAATTAAACTCAAGTTAATTATTCAAGTTTTGCTTTCATCTAATAAATATAAGGTTGAACTATGTCCAGTTAAACGCTTGCTGTCATTCCGTCACGTTATTCTCAAACCCTTTGTAATCTTGAGCATTAAAGGAGTGAAGATAGCAAAGTCTTGTGCGACAATTATCATCTTTCCAGGAACAGTAATTCCGCCAACCATATGATCATATTAGGGAGTATCAAAAGAACATATTGGGATGACCCGACTGTGTGTGTTTTCATATATATTAAATAACAAATTAACACTGTAACCCAAAAAAAAAAAAACAAATTAACACCTTTCATTGGCTCAAGAACATCATAAGCAAACAAAAAAAAAAAACCAAGCTAAATATACAAAACAATATATCCACCGGGGCAGCGAATGAGAATAATTACGAGTCCACGAAGATGAGATGATGATCGACATGGATATTACTGGAAGGATATGTATTCTGGAAACTGGAGCATCTCCACTACTTGGCTCATGGAGGGCCTTGCATCCATGTCATCTTCCACACACCGCAAAGCCACTTTGACCAACAACTCCACCTTAGCAGCGTCGTAATTTCCTTGCATATTCGGATCTGTTATCTCCTCAATCCAGCTCTCGCTCGCCGGAGCACCGTTCAACTTCTCCTTCACCCACGTCACCAACCTGCGTTGATCTATTCCTCCTTTATTTTCCAGGCTATGGATTCCCATTGGACTTTTTCCAGTTATCATTTCCAGAACCACGATCCCATAGCTGTATACGTCCACTTTAGAAGTAATTCGGAGATTGTACACCCATTCAGGTGCCATGTACCCCCTCGTCCCTCTTATTCTAGAAAAACCAGAATTGGCACGCTCATCCCTGTTAAGCAGCTTAGACAAGCCAAAATCAGCTACTTTGGGTTGGAACTCTGAATCTAGGAGTATGTTTTGAGGCTTCACATCGCAATGCAGAACCCATTCCAAGCATTCTTCGTGCAAGTAAGCTAAACCTTTGGCCGTCCCAACTGCAATATTAAACCTTTTGTTCCAGTCAAGCTCATTGGAGTGGAGATTCTCTGCTAAGGATCCATGCTCCATGTACTCGTACACTAACAGTCTGTGCTTCCCCTCCACGCAGTATCCCCACATGTCTATCAAATTCATGTGGTTCAACATCCCAATAGTGCTAATTTCAGCCAGAAACTCTGCTTCTCCTTGATCAGTTTCGCTAATAAGGCACTTGACTGCTGCCACGCGATCATCGTCTAATGTCCCTTTGTACACGATCCCTCCTGCTCCTCGTCCAACCTCATCGCTGAATCCACTTGTGGCCTTTTTGAGCTCTGAATAGGTGAACTTTTGGAACCCTGTGGCAGAAAGCAGTTGCTGTCTTTCTACTTTATCATTTTCCTTACTGCTTCTAAACAAGAAGAACCATACAAAGAAGACGCAGGTAATCTCGAATGCTCCAATCCCACAAGCGAACCAAAGCAAAAAATTCAACCACGCATTCTTTTTCGGATCTTGGTAAGTTCTATCCAACCTCTGAGATAGATTGGCTGGGCAATTCAGTTGTACATGTTTCTGAGGAACTTTGAGGGAAAGCATAGTGGATTTTGGCAATTTGAGATAGATATCGCCATCGAAATTTGGGGAATCCCGCCCATTGAGCAATATCGTTTTGATGTAGCAATTATAAGTACTAACTTCGTTGAATTTGAGTTGGACGCCTTTGCAATCATCACAAAGTTCCAAGCACCTATTTTCACATTGTGTCAAGTTTGTTACACGGATCACCTCCAAGTCATAGCCGAATAGTTCCATCCTGGGAAGATGAACAAAACCAAAGTCTGCAGAATTGCAACTAGGGCTTGTAAATTCAGGTTCACAACCCTGAGTCCAGTCATTGGGATTCTTAATCTTGAATCCTTGCAAGCAATAACAGGTCCTTCCTATGAAAGGATCGTAAGTGCACATGCTGTTAGCTCCACAAAGACCGTGAGCACTGCATGGTTCGGCTATGACTTGCCATGAGACCTCCCACATGCTAGTTTTTTCATTGAAACTGTAGAGACGCAAGTTACCATCAGGATCCACCGTGAATCGCCTGTAGCGTTTAACACCATAATCAGATGGATAGAATTCGAAAGTATCAGAGGACGTGAAATGGCCGAGGGGATCTAGCACCGCGATTTTAGTTATGTTGTAGGTGGACCTGCCTTCATCAACGGGCAGTTTCCACGTGGGAGGCCAGTACACGCTAGAAAGGTTGGGCCCTTTGAAAAGAAGCCGAAGAACATTATCATTATCGAAGTAAAGCTTATAGAAACCAGAAGAAAAGTTTGTGGTGCTTCTGGATGCAATGAGGCTTGCTTTCTCGGTTAGTGGCTGACCGGAAAGAAGGGTATCGGTTGGGGAGTCAAAACTTTGCCATAAGACAGCGCCTTGCGAGGTGCGAAGAACGAGGTTGCCGTTGTCCTTGAGCATGAGATGCACTTCCGAAGAGGAGAAGGTCTTTGTGGTCCAAATGGTAGCTACGCCTGCATCGCTCAAGATGAGGTTGCCATTTTTCGAAAGCGTAAACCTTGAAGCCCTCCCATTAACGGGTTGGTCTCGATTTGCAATCCAGACAAGAGTGGGTCGCTTGGACTTTGTGAACCATATGGAAAAGCAGAAAGCATTGTCGCCCACTTGAAAGAAACCAGCGGAGAAGGCGCCATTGGCTGACACGAGTGTATCGGTTGGTTTCTCAACTGAGAGTGACGAGCCTTGTAGGAGGGTATCTGTCGCTGCAGATGAACACGGAAGAGGGATGCACAGTGCAAAAGAAAGGAGGAAGACGATTAAGATATGCATTTGACGAGCGCAGAAAGCTTGAGATGGTCTCGATTAGGTAAGTTTCTAGTGGGAGCACACAAGTTTTTGTTATTTATACGTATAATAGATGGCTGCTTGTGCCTGGTTTGAATACCTAACTTTCTATAATACGTCAAATGGACCAATTGGTAGTATAGTGGAATCTTCGCAGACTTTGAATTTTTATATCCGGCCGCCTTCTTCGTTCTTTCCTTAATAATAGTGGCGATTTAATTTCTTTGGACGAGTTCGCGGATCCGTGAATCATTTGAATTTAATTCCGTCTCTCAACCTTCTGGGTAATCAGCTTGCGGGTTTAAATCGGAGCGCACGCTGAAATTTTAGAGCATCATCACCAACCAACTTGGCAACTTGCGAAAACTGCGTAGTTTTTCCTTTCTATCTCCCATTCAAAAATACTCCCTACCCCTGCGTCTTTACTGAGCCTGAACTGCAATAGTAGGACTCCTCTACTTCACGCCCAATAAACTCTTTACGAAGAGAATGAAGGCTCTCACCAAACAACGCAGCTCTTTGCCCATTTGAATCTTTTCATCTCACATATTTGTCATCCTTTGAATTTTGAAGCTCTTTGAATTAATGTATTTTACCTCTTGAGATCCAATGTCACTAGTTTCCTTAAAAAAATAAATAAATAAATTGAAATAGAGACAGAGCGGGGCTTATGCATGTAATGATGGAATATTTATTAAGAACATACCAGAACGCTACGGGAGATACCAGTGCTAATGGGTGTAATAAGATTAGGATTATAGAAAACTAAAAGTACAATGCCAAAACTAAGCTAAGGGACGGTGCAGTAGACGCAACTGTATGAGTTATGGGGCAGTGTACGAGTGTGCAAAGTAACTCAAAACTCAACAGAAGGTGTGATGGATGCAGGACATTATAAAAACAAAACTAAATGGGGAATGAGTTGGATGTGGGAAATGCAAGTAGCGGCAAAGCAATGGAATGGGTGACACATTGACGGGCTCCATATATGTGCCCACAATCGGGGATCAGCAACAGCATCAAGTACTCTTCACCTGGGCTTTTATTCTTTAGCACTTTCATTGGTTATGGGCCCCACATATGGCGTCGCTCAAAGTATGGGCTACATTGGTGGGTTGGGCTCAGCCCATTTAATGTCTCGTTGGTGTTCGAAGCCATTGAAGCAATGCCAATGGGTCTTACACCAAGGGTGAAGCACCCCGCCGACCTCTGTGACTGTGGCGGCACTAGCATGAACGAAATAACTGCCTGGAACAGTGGCACATGCGCGTCTCGCACCACCAACGTCAGCTCTCCACGCTCCCACACCTTCCCCGCTTCAATCGCTGCTCCTCTCGCGCCATGCCAGCGTCTTTTCCTTTTCAAGACCAACACATTTTTCAGCCACTTCTTCAAATATACATCTCCACTCTCAACACCAATACCCCTGACTTCCCCTGCATCTTGTTGATTCGGCCATTCTTCTCAGTTTGCTGTAGCCAGTTGCGGGATACTGATATTCCATTCTCATTACAAGGGCACCTCTAGCCATTTCTTCAAAATCAAAAATAGATGGTTAAGTCAGGGTGGGCATTGATTTGCACATCACAAGTCTTTTGTTTTTTGGGTTGACTAGTAAATTGATGTTAAAATACGCATGACATCAAATCAATTTTTATATATATATATATATATATATAATTCAAATACACGCACGCGAGGATAAACATATTAACACTAAACTCGAGCTTAGCACCTCATTCAAACATGACATGTGGTATTCCTGCTCCTACTGCCTGTTGTTGACATAAAACTGATTCTTTTGTTATTTGAAAAACTGGTCACTTGTTATGAAAATGAGGAATGATTTAAATTTAGAAACACAAATAAAAATAGAGCTTCAGAAAAAGCACATATTTTAAATCCATATGTATATGAAAGCTCTGAATCCACTCTTCTTCCGGTCCAAAAAAAAAAAATCACTACTAGCCTCTCAAATTTACTATTTGCGCTCCTTATACCCGCCCTCAACCCACATAGAACTGATCATGCAAAATACCAAATAATAAATTTTAGGAACTAAACAAACGATGAAGGACAAAGGGGGTGGATTCGAAACTCTTGAAGAACAGGGACGAATTGTAAGATAAGTAGAAATTATGAGGGTCAAAAGTTCAATTTCATCTAATCAGATATATTGGGAAGGCTTTAGAAATTTTGTTTATTATGAAGAACTTGAAATTACGCCAAACGAATTCCCCTTCCTCTTCCTTCGACCCCTCCTTTTCCAGCAAATTACAGCACATGGCCTGTCGTGACAACTTAAAAAGTTAATATAATTTTTAGCTTTTCAAGTGTATTTTCTGATTTTATACTCTAAGTTTTAAATTATAGATTTTAGTCTCTTAATAAGTAAAATGTTCCAAGTTTTTATTTGATTATAGAACTAATATTTTAAATAAAAAAATTTGAGCAACCAAAACTTATGACTTGATACTTAAAAGACAGAAATAAAATGAAAATAGATATGAAGAACTGAAATTTATATCAACCTAACTTAAAATTGAACCTCAACCCCCAGACATAATCTATATTTATCAAATAATAACAGTTTGAAGCTTTTCAGTTTTCACATAATACCATGCATATTCATATCATATTTATCAATAGTCGATGCGACCCATAAAATAATCACGTCGTGATTGTTGGCTTGAGCAGCACCTGGCATGCGAAGGCAAGGCACACGAATCCGATTGCGGCGATGTAGGGGATGGCCCGTTTGGTTAATATGAACCTGTTCGAGGTCAGGATTAAAACATGAGATGGGACTTGAGTAAAAAGTATCGGCCCTGTTAAATTAGTTTAATATTTAATTTAGTTTCAAATATAATATTTTAATTTATTTTATCGTTTATATTTATTTACTTTTTTAATATAGTCGTTGTAATAATTGAATGTGTTATAAGTTTCATCAGATCGTAATTTTAACTAATACACATAATTAGTAATGATATTTTAGAAAAGACATTAATAATAGTATTTTAGAAAAGATAACATCTACTTAATAATTTTTTTAATTTACTTAAACTTATCGATTAGTTTTTATATTAAGAACAAATGGTAAACTAAGTACCAAAAGAGTGGCTTTCATTTGTGTGTGACGAACGAGCATTGTCATGGTTTTGTAAATCATATTCCTGTGCGAACGAACACTCGAACTTCAAATTAAAATATTCAAAACTGCCCTCTTTCACTCTGCTTTGTTAATACTCTCTTCCGATTCTTAATATAAAACCTATTTAACTAATTTGATTAGATTAAATAAGTTAGGTAAATTAGTTAATTATAAGAAATGTGACACATTTTCTTAAAATATATAATCATCTTTTTTAATACATCATCCCTCTCTTTTACTTGATTATGATTGAAGGAATATCTATAGGAGTAATTTAGAAAAAATTTATAAATATAAAAAATAAATCTTATATTTATGATCAAAATCAAAACCAACTCAACAATTGAGTCATAGTTTATTGAAAACGGAAAATCCTGCCGAAATTATATAACCACCCGCACGTTTTTTATTCTGCTTGAAGCTGTGAAAAAAAAAAATCCTCTAACATCACAAAATGCCGAAATTGGCATTATCCATCAGCCTCTTTTGTAACTGAACTTGTATCCCCCTGATTATTCACGTCTTTTTTCTTTTCCTTGAAGCTAAGAGAGACGTAGGGGGAACGACACGCTTACAGATATTAAAATTTTGGCAATCCATGAAAAAGGCAATCAACCTGAACTTGTATCCCTCGAGCAACTGTTATTCAGGATTCCCACCGTATAAATGCTGTCACGGTTTATTTCTTTTCAGTCTACTTCTTTTAATTTTCGGATGCCCATTTTGAAGGCAATCAACCAGTCACCGTGGAAGAAGATCCCAGCCCCGCTAACGGGCAGAGATTTTTCCAATCGGATCCCCCATTTCCTCTCAAACAGAAGCTCTACTTATTCTTCTCTCAAATTATCAATGAAAACATACAAAAACGGTTGCGTCGCTTCTGTCCGCCCAACAACTTGATGCCCTTCACATTTCCCGAGTTTTAGGCTTTGCTTGTCTTTTCTTTCACTCCGTCATTGTAACTGTTACTTTTGCCAACCAAAATTAATAATGGTGACAATAATAATAATAATAAAATCTTCTCTCCCTCGAGAAAAAAAAAAAACTTCTTTTCTTTCATTTTAAGTGTGAAAATGAAACCCATGGCTCGATGAATTCCCATCAAACCACCGTCTCATCTGTGTAATCCCTTCACAAAATGATAATTCGATTAATGACGTTCCTTCTCTTCTGAAAACTCGTTGTGTCCTCCTGTACATTACCGAAATTCTTATTTTCTTCCCTTTTTCAGTGTAACGAAAAAAGGGGATTAAAATTAAAATTTAAAAAAGTAAAAACAACAACCAAGAACGTTTTCCGAGTTGCCTGGGTTGCTCTGTCTCTCCCCACTCCGATTCATGCTGAGTTAGCTGAGCGGAGGCAGCATCATCCTTCTTTACTCGACCCTGCCCATTCCGATACTCTCACCACAGCGTTTCTAATGGCTTCCGTCTGAACACACAGACCATTCGGCTCTCTCCCAGACATGTAATTCCTCACTTCCTCTTTATCATCTCTTGCATCACCGCCAGAAAGTCGGAGCTGAAGAATTGTCTCTCCCAACCAAACTGATCATATCTCTGACCTGTAGGAGCTGGAACCACGCATTTGCTGCCATTGATGCTCCTACCGCTGGTGCAGCAGGCGCTGGCGACGGTGGACTTGGCGGGAACTGGGTCGGGCTGACAGGCTGTTTCGATCCGGATCCATGGTTGGAGGCCTCATCCGAACTGGATCAGGCAGTGACAGGCATAGTGATGTCGGTGGATCATGGGCGGAAGTGGCGGTTTCCGGTTGTTGGGTGCAGGGAACGGCGGCCGTGTTCCTCGCGAAGGGTCTGCAAACCCGCGTGGGAGACATAGCGGGCAAACTGGTATCGCTCAAATCGGATCCGGATGGGCTACTCGGGCTCAAGTACAAACAGGAGACGGCTGGGGCGGCACCGACACTGGCAGATCTTTTGAGAGGCTGGTGTTCATTGGGCTCGGGATCGAAAGGATCGGATATGGCGGAGCATTTCCTCTTGAGAGTGGAATTCCAGTGGTTTTTGATGGCGTTGTCGGTGCGACCGTGGAGTAAGCGAGCGATAGTGGCCCACTTGTTTCCGAACCTGGCGTGCGCTCTGATGATGGTTTCGTCCTCGTCGGGCGTGAAAGGCCGGTGCTCGACGTTGGGAGAGAGCTGGTTGCACCACCGCAAACGGCAGGACTTGCCGGATCGACCGGGAATGGACTTGCTGATGAGAGACCAGTTTCTAGGACCGTAACTCTGAACAAGTCTGTGCAAGGCTTCATCTTCTTCGGGACTCCACGGACCTTTAATACGATCGACGTCTTTCTTGAGGGAGGCCATGGAAATGAAAGCAGTTTGGGGGCAACACTAGTGTACTAGAGCTCTCTAGCTGGGCCTTCTGTTATCTATGTAAAAAGCCGAAAGGACGAGGAAAAACAGAAAAGAAAATAAATAATTTGATTAGGGGCATTAAAATGGGATTATAATTATAAATGACAAAATAAGGAGATTGGGCAAGAAGGGGAGTCAAAAATCAAAATGAGAAGAGAGGAAAGGAGAGAATTTATATACGAAGGAGATAAGGATGACTGGATGAACCGGTGGGAGTGAGGAGTGACGAGGATTGTTCCAGGCAACTCACTGGTCAGTTAGTATAGGATACAGCTGTCAGGGTGACACGCGTCAAATGGGAGTCTGTGAGAGTTACACGTATGGTCACGCTCTCGGCGCCCGTTAATGAGTGGCTATTCCTCCTTCCCGCTCCATCTCCCCCCTCGAAATATCTCCTCATTCCTTCTCTATCACGCTTTTCGCCCTCCCCTCTCTTTTCTCTCTCTCTCTTTTTTTTTGGGGTTTCCGGTTCCTCATATCATCCAATTTCTTTATTTTTGAATTTATTGATATAAATTCAAGTATTTTCTTTTAAGTTGGCAGAGAAAAAAGTATTGGTTCTTTTCACTTCTCATCTGCAGTCGACCCCTTAAAAAAAAACAGAGACAAAAGTGAGAGAATTCTTGGTTCTTCAACGGCATCTTTAAAAATGTTTCAAAACATTCATATATTGTTTTTGTTCACTGATATGAACGGATTTTATAATAAATTTGAGGGAATTTAATTGTCCATTACACTTTTGGGGGGGAAAAAAAGGAAAAAGAAAGCGTGTCCGCTCGGCCGTTAAACCATCACCCGAAAGCGCCCAAAAATAAAGCAGGCCTAATTAACTAGACATTAAACAATATTAATATTTAGCGTATGGCCCGGGAAAAAAACATAAGATACTAATATTATAGGAGAATAATGGAGAGAAGCCGAGGGCATGCGTGGGGGGCAGGATGGATGGTACAGGGAATAGCTTTTGACCGAAACAGGCTGGACAGCATTTTTAAGTGACCGAGAAAGAAGCAACACCCACGCAATTTCAATTGTATTTACGAAAAAGGGACAAAATTGATGAGCCTCCTTTCCAAAATGTTAAAAAAAAAAAAAATTGAAGGAGGCGCTGAACTGGCAAGGAAAACGACAAGGTTTTGAAAAGGGCGGAAGGGGGAGGACTAGGGAGGCGGGGTGAGTACAGGCTGTGAAGCCAATGAAAAGCGGAATAGTGAGCTCACCTTAGAACGGCCTGACTCGCCCCACTACTGCCTCGTGTCAGTTACTCTCGGAACGCCGCCCTCCTCCTCCTCTTCTCATTTACTCATCTGTTGTTATTTACGTAACATTTTCAACATATTTTATATTGACTAAAAAAATTTAAACTGTATTAATTTTTTTATTAAAATATAGTAATTTTTTAATTTTATTTCTATTTAATATATACTCCTTCAAAAACAATAACTATCTATATTATAGTTAATCAAGGATAATATAGTATGTTAATGGTAAAAATTTAATAAAATGATTTATATATAGAATAAAAAAATCTTTTTTCTATGTCTTATAAATAGAATCAAAGAATCAGTTGCATTTATTAATCCTGGTTCCTGGGCATCCATTCATGGGTAGAAGAATCCAACGTAATAGAAAGCTATATCACCCCTAAATTCCCCCTCTCAACACCACAAATTGCTTCATTATTGGCCCCTACAAACCCACCCGCCCTTCCAGAAATTACAAACGCTTCTCAACCGTGCATGCTTTTGTTACTCGAGTGAATCCCCTCCATTCAAGGAATATGAACATCACTACAACGCAGCTCTCCCCGGCACTTTCTTTTCAGAAACTATTACATTTTGGTATCATAAAAATTATGTTTTAAAAATATTTTTTATAAATTGAGATAAATTTATTCATATATTTATTTTATATATTATAAAAAAATTTTAAAACTATAAATTTTGATCCTATCTAGACACGTGCTCATCTTAAGTTTTATAACCGTTTGCTAAAGTCATGGGAATTTTATTTTAGGAATAAAATACTACAACAAAAGAAAATAAACCGAGCTCAAAACAAATGCATGCCCCTTTCTTTTTCTCTCTTTATTTGGGTGCGAGGGCGGTACCAAATGCGTGCATCCCAACCTGTACGATCTGTCGTCCTGTCTCGTCCCTGAAATGAGAAACTCCCACGTTTTCATGTCACGTGACTCGCCCCTTCCGTACCACGTTGATTGTTGAATTCAACCCACCGTCTATTTCCTCTTTTCTTTTTCTTTTTTTTTGGCCAGGCCACCGTCTGTTTCAAATCCTCCTATTACTACATCTTTCCAATTAATTCCCCAAAACAATAAACTACTAAGTGAGGAACCCCTTCTTCTCTAATCAAATGCAAAAATAGTATGTACAATTAAAATAATAATAAAACGTTGAATTTGAGGGCATTCTTCGAAAGCAGGAAAACATGGAAAGCAGACAAATAATTGACGTGCCCGAGAGTTGGATTGCTTTTTAGAAAGCTGAGTTGTGAGTTGCACTGTATTTCTGAGGGGGAAAAAAGATCTGGGACTACATATGCACAAGGGAAACCATATCCAAAAGTATTAGAGCCAGATTTAACAAATCTTAAAAGGCATAGTTGGTTTTAAAGATGAAGATCCGACCAAGCAGAAAAAGAAGAGTAATTACTATATAAAGTTCTTTAAGTTTTATCATTGTATTGCGAACAAGTACATAGAGCAATTTAAAATGAAATGTAAAGTTAAATAGAAATTATATTAAAAGGGTGTTTGGATAGAAATCAAATCATAATTTTAAAAATATTTTTACCATTTACGAAGTAAATATGTAAAAAAATTTATCTCATTTCACAGAAAAATACTTTTTTAATAATTGTCATACTAACAACGAGTTTTGATGGTTAAAAAAAAAGAGAAGCAAATGAAGTATTTTTGGGAGGGGGGTACAAGTTGATACGGAAGAGATTAAAGAAAGGAGGAATAAAGAGATTTGATTCTGATTGGAGTCTGACAGTCACATGATCTGGTAACCATCCGGTATACTTCCTCCTAACCAAAAGGAGCTTTCCATTCCATTTAATTGTGACCAATTTGCAAGCTCACTCATCTTTCTTGTCAGGCCCTTGTTCCTACCTCCGCCTCCTGTGCCCCGCCCTACCCTACCCTACCCTCCACCCCATACCCTTCCTCCTTAATTTAGCTTCCACCCTATTATTTATCCCTTCCCTTTTTCTTCGCCCTCATTATAAAATCCAAATAATTATATTATGCAATTTAATAAACAGTTAAGATTAATCAAAAATAATTAATAAGTAGAAAATATACATTTTTCTATATTTCGTAATGTGAGCAGCTCTGTTTAGATCAATTAAGGTAGCTGATTTTTTTTCATAATTATTATTCAAATATTTTTATATCAATTGCTTATGAATACAAAAGAAATAACCGTTTAATAATTGAAATAAATGGGAGGTGAAAATAAAAGCAACGTGGGTGATGTTGAGACGCGTCACTAAGCGTGGAGGAAAGGAACCCAAGGGCGGAGCTGGTGGGAGGCCGGGCCATGTTTGTTTTTGTTTGCTC